GATGGGCATGGAGGAGGGCACTTGTGGGGATGAGCACTGGGTGTTATATGGAAACCAATTTGACAATAAACTATTTGTAAAAAAATAAAAAAAAATAAAGTAATTGTCACATTAAAAAAAATACAAGTGTCATTTTAAAGCTGTTCTATTAAAGAAAAAAAAAAAATCACTCCTATTTATTATCAGTCAGAGACCTGCTGGAAAATGGCCATGATGGGGCGCCTAGGGGGCTCAGTCGGTTAAGCGTCCAACTTCGGCTCAGGTCATGATCTCATGTGGGTTCAAGACCTGCATCAGGCTCATCTCATGGCTCAGGTCACCTCATGGTTCATGGGTTCGAGCCCCGCATTGGGCTTTGTGCTGACAGCTCAGAGCCTGGAGCCTGCTTCATATTCTTTGTCTCCCTCTCTCTCTGACCCTCTGCTGCTCACGCTGTCTCTCTCTCTCTCTCTCAGAAATAAATAAAACATTAAAAAAGAAGAAGAAAAAGAAAATGACCATGAGATCAAAGTGGGGGGTTGAGGCGGCTGGGGGGCTCAGTCGGTTAAGCGTCCGACTTCGGCCCGGGTCATGATCTCACGGTTTGTGGGTTCAAGCCTTACATTAGGCTCTGTGCTGACAGCTCAGAGTCTGGAGCCTGTTTCAGAGTCTGTAACTCCCTTTTGCTCTGCCCCTCTCCCATTCATGCTCTGTCTGTTTCTCAAAAAAATTAAATAAACGTTAAAAAAAATTGAACAAACAAACAAAGTGGGGACTGGGGGGCTATCACCTGCTCTGTTAGCTTGTTCATCTTAGCGCTACCAAATGTAGGCATCTTTTCTAGTGTTTGCCCACCGTGATAAAGAGCTTGCTTTTATGGGAATGCAAACTGGTGCAGCCACTCTGAAAAAACAGTATGGAGGTCCCTCAAAAAATTAAAAATAGAGCTACCCTATGATCCAGCAATTTCACTACTAGGTATTTATCCAAGGGATACAGGTGTGTTACTTCGAAGGGGCACATGCACCCCAGTGTTTACAGCAGCACTATCGACAGTAGCCAACGTTTGGAAGGAGCCCAAATGTCCATCGATGGATGAATGGATAAAGAAGAGGTGGTATATGTATACAATGGAGTATTACTCGGCAATCAGAAAGAATGAAATCTTGCCATTTGCAACTATGTAGATGAACTAGAGAGTACTATGCTAAGTAAAATTAGTCAGTCAGAGAAAGACAAATATCATAGACAAATATCAAAGATAAATATCACTCACAGGAGGACTTTAAGATACAAAACAGATGAGCATAAGGGAAGGGAAGCAAAAGTAATATAAAAACAAGGAGGGGGACAAAATCAACGTACAGAAATCGGTTGCATTTTTATACACCAACAATGAAGCAACAGAAAGAGAAATCAAAAAACTGATCCCATTCACAATTGCACAAAAAACCATAAAATACCTAGGAATAAACCTAACCAAGTATACAAGAGATCTGTATGATGAAAACTATAGGAAACTTATGAAGGAAATTGAAGAAGACACAAAGAAATGGAAAAACATTCCATGCTCATGGATAGGAAGAATAAATATAGTTAAGATGTCATTACTACCCAAAGCACTCTACACATTCAATGCAATTCCAATCAAAATTGCACCAGCATACTTCTCAAAACTAGAACAAACTATCCAAAAATTTGTAGGGAACCACAAAAGACCCCGAATAGCCAAAGTAATACTGAAAAATAAAACCAAAACGGGAGGTATCACCATCCCAGACTTTAGCCTCTACTACAAAGCTGTCATCATCAAGACAGTATGGTGTTGGCACAAAAACAGACACATAGACCAATGGAACAGAATTGAGAACTCAGAAGGGGACCCAAAAGTATACAGCCAACTGACCTTTGACAAAGCAGGAAAGAATATCCAATGGAAAAAAGACAGCCTTTTTAACAGATGGTGTTGGGAGAATTGGACAGCAACATGCAGAAGAATGAAACTAGATCATTTTCTCACACCATGCACAAAAATAAACTCAAAGTGGATAAAGGACCTGAACGTGAGACAGGAAACTATCAACACCCTAGAGGAGAAAGCAGGAAACAACCTCCTTGACCTCCACCGCAGCAACTTCTTACTTGACACATCCCCAAAAGCAAGGGAATCAAGCGCAAAAATAAATGATTGGGACCTCATCAAGATTAAAAGCTTCTGCACAGCCAAGGAAACAACCCACAAAACTAACAGGCAACCAACGGAATGGGAAAAGATAGTTGCAAATGACATATCAGATAAAGGGTTAATATCCAGAATCTATAAGGAACTCACCAAACTACACGCCCGAAAAACAAACAACCCAGTGAAGAAATGGGCAGAAGATATGAACAGACACTTCTCCAAAGAGGACATCCAGATGGCCCACAGACACATGGAACGATGCTCAGCATCCCTCCTCATCAGGGAAATACAAATCAAAACCACACTGAGATACCACCTCACGCCAGTCAGAGTGGCTAAAATGAGCAAATCAGAGAACTCTAGATGCTGGCGAGGATGTGGAGAAACGGGCACCCTCCTACACTGTTGGTGGGAATGTAAACTGGTACAGCCCCTCTGGAAAACAGTGTGGAGGTTCCTAAGGAAACAATAGAACTCCCCTATGACCCAGCAATAGCACTGCTAGGAATTTACCCAAGGGATACAGAAATGCTGATGCATAAGAGCACATGTACCCCAATGTTCATAGCAGCACTCTCCACAGTAGCTAAAACATGGAAAGAGCCTAAGTGTCCATCAACAGATGAACGGATCAAGAAGATGTGGTTTATCTATACCATGGAATACTACATGGCAATGAGAAACAATGAAATCTGGCCATGTGTAGCAACATGGATGGGCCTTGAGGGTGTTATGCTGAGCGAAATAAGTCAGGCACAGAAGGACAAATATCATATGTTTGCACGTATAGGAGGATTAGGAGGAACTTGACGGAGGAACAAGGGAGAGAAGAAGGGGGAAATGGTGGGGGAAAGGGAGAGAGGCAAACCATGAGAGACTCTTGAATGTTGACAAAAACTGAGGACTGATGGATGTGGGGGGGTGGGGGGGATGGGCATGGAGGAGGAACTTGTGGGGATGAGCACTGAGTGTTATGTGGAAACTAATTTGACAATAAACTATTTGTAAAAAAAAAAAAAAAAAAAAAAATGGAGGGGGACAAAACGTAAGAGACTTTTAAACACAGAGAACAGAGGGTTGCTGGAGGGGTGTGGGGGGGCGGGGATGGGCTAAATGGGTAAGGGGCGTTAAGGAATCTATTCCTGAAATCATTGTTGCACCATGTGCTAACTAACCTGGATGTAAACTACAAAAAATAAATTTAAAAAGCTAAAAAGTTCCCTCTTGAATAGTTTACGCAATTTAGCATCTTTAAATTTTACATCAACTGTTAACACTACATAAAGCATTGTGAACTAAGAGGGCTCTTTCGTGTCCATAAAAGAAACATGGTCTCTTTAGGATAAAGAAAGTCATATCTCCCTAACAAGAAGTGCTCAGAGCCCAGGGTATGCTGGCCTCTTGCCCGGTAGAACTTTCTGGAACATGACAGACACATTCTTTATCCACTGATGTGGCTGCTAAGCCCTTGAAATATGGCTAATGAGACAGAAGCGCTGAGTCTTTTATTTCATTTTAATGCATTAAAATCTAAGTGTGAACAGTCACCTGTTCACAGTGTGAATGCAGCCCGGACTCCCGCACTGAGTGGGGCAGCTAGAGGAACCGGGAGAAAGCACAGACTCTGACATGTTCTTCCTCTGACCTGGGCGTCACTAGTGAGCTCACGGCTGTGCAGGAGCTGTCTGGCAGACCTGAGAGAGAAACTCCTATTTCTTTTCTCCTCTTCCTCGAGCTGATGAGGGTGTCTGAGGTCACCGTCCTCAAGAAGATGCCATCTATCTGGAATTCCTTCTGTCCCAGTGGAGGGGCGAAGGCAGCTGATGGCAGAGCACTCAGCTCAGTACCCCCAGCACCAGGACTTCCTGTCAAGGAACCTTGGCCCACATAACAGAAACAGGCCAGCAAACCCCACGATGCCACAGCTGTGTATGGCGGGGGGGTGTCCGGCCCCCGCCAAAACGACTTAGTCCACGCAGAGGGCAAACGGCACTTCTAAATAAAATTGCCAAACTCACAAGGCAAACAGAACAAGCCAGGACATCAAGTACAGTCAGGCGAACTGACCAGAGAGCAGGAGGCAGGGCCAGGAAAGGTGCGACGGGGAAAAGAAACACCGACTACTGACTACTGCTTTTTACTGACACGCATCTTTCCCTTGGGGCGACAGAGGCCGGGGAGGTGGAATCTGAAGACTTAGAAAAGCTATACATGAAATAATAATAATAATAATAATAATAATAATGATAAATGGTACCCTCACGTGCACAGCAGCATTATCCACAGTAGCTAAAACGTGGAAGCAACCCAAATGTCCAACGACAGATGGATAAAATGAGGTGGGTCTATGCAGTGGAATACCACTCAACCTGAAAAAGGAAAGATAACCTGACCCAGGCTATAGCATGTGTACACCTGGAAGACACCAAGCTGAGTGAAAAGAGACAGGCACAAAAGACAAATACTGTCTGACTCTGTTTATGTGAGGTCCCAGGATTCATAAACAGAAAGTAAAATGGTGGGTGCCAGGGGTCAGGAGAAAGGGGGGAGGTTAGTGTTTAATGGGGAGGCTTTCTGAGTTGCAAGATGAAAAAAATGCTGGCAGTGGAGGCCGGGGGTGGCCGCACAGCATTATGAACGTACTTAATAGCACTGAACTGTATCCTTAAAAATAGTTAAGGTGACAAATTTTATGTGTCTGTTACACAATAAAAAGAAATGTAAAAGTAAACAGCCATATTTGTGCTGTGGCCCTCCCCCCAGCTGCTGTCCACCCCACTGACCAGTCTGTGGTCCTGGCTGTGAGAAGGAAAAGCCCCTTGAGGCACTGGCCCCCTTCCCAGATGTCACCTCCCCTAACCCGTTTCACCCCTTCCTATGTCATACCGTTTCACCCCTTCCTATGTCATACCGAGAGAAGCCTGCCTGAGGCACATGGGGGATGGGCAAAAGGTGAGGAGCACAGGCCTGGATTGGAACCTGCTGTGTGGCCACGTGGGTCGAGATCCACATGCCTCAACTCAGATGCATTCGGCAGTTCAGCGGGGCAAGGTTCACTGGGCAGCTGGCTGAGATCCCTGAATGCCAAAGACCCTGGGGCATACGGGGACAAGCCGGGCGGGGAGGCTGCAGCGCTTACCTGCAGGCGTACTCCACTGTGTAAATGGCTCCCTGGCTCTGCTCCTCCCATCGCTGCATGTCGGCCTGTGGGAGACAGGAAGCTGTTAGCAGGAGGGCTGCCACCTGCCACTGCCACCCTCTCAGTTCCTGGGATGGAGCGCCTGACCACCCATCACCATGGCCGCAGAGACCCGCCCCCTCCATCCTGATCTTTCCTCCTGCAAATCCCGCCCCCTCCACCACCATGGGTCTGGGCTTTCTGTGAACACATGGCTACCATGCCTCAGGGCTTTAGCACTGGCTGTTCTCTCTGCTTGGCACATGGTTCCCTCGGGTCCTCATGTGGCCGCTTCCTTCTCGTCACACAAGTGACAATTAATGCATATCCTGCTGTCCCCATGGCTTCTTGCTGGTATCCCAGCCTTGACTCCTCCCCCAACAGCCCCTGCCTAGATCATGAGGGGAGGACTCTGGGGGAGGTCAGTGGCAGGGGCCAGCGGGGCTCACCTTATGCTGGGCCAGCTCAGGCAGAGAGCGGCGCACGTGCTCCTGCAGCCTGTACAGGGCCACGGACGGCTCATTGGCCAGGACGTAGACACTCTCAGTGAACTTGTCTGTGACTGGCTTGAGCAAATCCAAAGTTGGGGGCCGGGGTCGGGGGTGGCAGAACAAGGGAAGGGCAGCAGAGACACAAAGATACAAAGCATAAGACTCTTGACTGCTTAATCCGAGAGTCCAGCCAGAGCAGTGAGGGGTGTCCGGTGCCCACCCAGGAGCTGGGTCACCTGTGGCTCCAGGGATGGGCTGAAGGAGATGGTCACAGAAAGGCTTCATTCATCACGATGTTAACACGTCCAGTGAACTTACAATTTTCCACCTCCCAAGCCCACTTGTAGTGGACACTGCTTCTGTCCACTTGTACCTCTCACGTTTCTTGTATCCCAAGGAATGAATCTGAGACTCTTCTTCGAGGGTCCCACTAGTTACTGGGCCTGAAAATGCCTGGAGGCTTAGATTGCTGGGTGGCCTTCAGCCATGACTGACCATCAAGGGGTAGTAAAGCCCACATCTCCTGCTGTGAGTTGGGACAACATGGAGATGTAACCCATCCTTCTGAGTTTTCCTGAAGCATCAGGCTGAGGATTTTCCCTGAGATCGTTCCTTGCTCAGCGTCCCCCATCTCCTCTGTGAGGGTCTCCTGGTTAAGTTAATTACACAGAAATCCTTATCCCACGGTCTGCTTCACCAGATGACATTCCCAGCCAGTCAGTCATCGACACCCTCCCATCCATGAACATATCCCGCTGGTTCCACCTTAAATAAGTCCAAATCTCACCTAGTCTTACCACTCCCCTGCCCACACCAGTCCAGGCATGGCCACCTCTCACCAGGATGCCAGATTCAGCTCCTTCCTGGTCTCCTTGCTTCCACTCTGCCAACAGTCCAATCTCCAAACAACAGATGGACTGAGCTCCTAAACACATCAGGTATGTTCCCCCCTTATTTGAAACCCTCCCACAGCTCCCATCAGCCAGGGCATAAAATCCACCTGCCTTACTATGGCCCAGAAGGCCCTATATGTTCTGCCTGTCATTCACTTCCGTGCCTTCCTCGCCCTCCACCCGAGGTACAGTGGTCTCCTGGCTGTTCCTTGGACACTGCCAGTTCTGTCCAAAAGAACTCTGAGATGACAGAAAGGTTCTATAATCTATAGTGTCCGATAATGTGGCCACTAGGCATATACAGCTGGCTACTGAGCACCTGAAATGTGGCTAATATGACTCACAAATTGTATTTTTTAAAGTTTTAATTCCAGTAGTTAACAGTGTTATATTAGTTTCAGGTGTATAATATAATAATTTAATAATTCTATACACTACTCAGTGGTCACCATATGAATTTTAAATTTTACCTAAATTTAATTAATTTAAATACCTGTAAATACCGTGACCAGGAGCTGCTGTACTGCTGCACAGCTCTGAGCACTCTGCCACCTCGGTGTCTTTGCACCTGTTGTTCTACAACTGACCCTCTCCTTCCCCCATGGGCTTCTCTTCATCCCTCATGTCTCAGCTTTAATCACCTCCTGGGCAAGGCCTTCCCTGATCACCAAGTTCAATCAGATGTCACTTCCACCCCATTCTCAACCTCAGCACCTTGTTCATCTGTCTTATAAATTCTTATTTTTCATTAGATTACATTTTTACAAAAAAACAAAACAAAACAAAAAAAACCCTTAAAGCTTGGATTCTTGCGGGCAGGGGCTTCTGGGAGCCTCAGTTTCCTCAGCTGGTAAAATGGAATGATAATAGTACCCACCTCAAGGTTTGCTATAGAGATGGACCCATGCTACGCCCAGTGGAGTGCAGCTGACAAAAGAGAGAACTCTGGGAGTGTCTGGGAGTCAAGGGAGGCTGTGCATGAGTCTGGCTAGTGTCAGTCCATCTAGTTCACTGCAGTGCTCTCAGTGGGGAAGAGCCCATCCTGCCACCTCCAAACTGAGCATGCTCTTACCCTCTTATTCCCTTTATTTGGAAAATAAGCATAATAGCTTACCCTCAGTGCTGCTGCAAAAAAGATGGAATGAACTATACTTGTGCCTTCTAAATAATTAACTAGAGGAGCGCCTGGGTGGCTCTGTCGGTTAAGTAACCAACTCTTGATTTCGGCTCAGGTCATGATCTCACAGTTCCTGAGTTCAGCCCAGCAAGGGGCTTTGCGCGGACAGCGGGAAGCCTGCTTGGGATCCTCCCCGCCCCCCCGTGCCCCTCTCCCACTTGTGCTCTTGCTCTCTCTCAAAAATAAACTTAAAAATAATAATAACTATGGGGCGCCTGGGTGGCTTAGTCGGTTAAGCGTCCGACTTTCGCTTAGGTCATGATCTCACGGTTCGTGGGTTCGAGCCCCGCGTCGGGCTCTGTGCTGACTGCCAGCTCGGAGCCTGGAGCCTGTTTCAGTCTGTGACTCCCTCTCTCTCTGACCCTCCCCTGCTCACGCTGTCTGTCTCTCTCTCTCCTAGAAATAAATAAAAAAAAAAATTAAAAAAAAAATAATAATAACTAGAAATAACATGTGTAATAACAAAAACCCTTAGGATTTAAAAAGTCTGTAGCATTTGCTAATTTGTAACCATGCGACTTACATATATTTGATGTTAACGTAAACCTAAACAAATGCGTAAATATATACGTAAATAATGCGCACAGGGACTGCCACGTCCCAGGCGTTCTTTCAATGCATTACAAACAGCAGGTCATTGAATTCTCAAAACAAACCTATGGGGAGGGGGGGGGGAGGCGGGGAGAGACTTATACTCCCCATTTTACAGATGACAAAATCAAGGCACGGAGACTTTCTAAAGGCCGAACCAATGTTAGTTCAATTAGTTCCCCCGTATGCTCCTTCCAAGCCTTTGCCCCCTCCTGCCCTCCGTCAGGTCACCCTTCTGTCCAGCCCGGGGCTCCGCACAACCTTTCTTTCCCTTGAGTTGCATCTCCGGTTCCTCCATAGCGACCGCGTACCGATTCCGAGGACCGGAAGCGGAAGTCCTGCTGTGGGGAAGGCTTCTTAAACCTTCCCCTACGAAACCAGACGCCATGATGCTCCAGTTCCGGTGCCAATTGGACTGCCCTCCCCGCTCCTTCGTGTACACAGACTGGAGAGGAGCCTTGAGTGAGAGACTGGGGAAGGAGGCACACCGGTAGACGGGTGAGGAAGGGGCGGAGACCCCCTGAAGCTCCAGGAGGGACACCCAAGCAGGAAGGGGCAAGGGCACCCTCCCTTTACGAACTCCCTTTTCCGGGAGCAGACGAATTAGGGAAACGCTCCAAACATTGCCCTCTTCGGGCCACATAAACAGCCTCTTTGTACTCTCCTGCTGCCATCAGATTCTTGCACACGCTCACATGCCCCCAGGACCGTAAAGAAGACATTGTTATGAACGGGGGCGACAGTAGTGTTGCCCCTTTAAATCCCGGACACCTCGACTTCTCCCCGCCCACCGCCTTCAGACAGGAGAATGCCCCGCCCGTCCGGTAGAAACTGGAGCCTTGCGGCTCCCTCCGGAAAAATTTGTGGGCGGAGCTGAGGCGTAGTGACGCAAGACAGTCTCAATGAACTCCTCAGGGCCCTCTGAGGCTCCACCCATCCCCTCAGACACTGACAGGCTCCCTCCGGAGCTGCCGGGACAAGAGTGCGCAGGCGCAACAGCGTTGCTCGGGCCCCAGCGGAAACCACGCCCCTCCCCCAAGTCTTAAAGGGCCAGTAGCAGCTTCTATTGCGCTCGCCTTTCTGCACTTTTGGGGAGGCAGGGTGCGCAGGCGCAGTGGGGTGCTCTGAGGTGGGGGTAGCGGTCGCGTATCAAGTTGCTCTCTGTCCCGGTAGAAGAAACCAGGGCGCTGAGGATCTAGGTTCCAGCTTGCTCCCTCCAGTATCAATTGGAGGAGAAAAGTTTGTGAATTGGACCCCCAAGTTTTGGGGGACCCGGACTTGAGGCGTGGGGTGACAGACGAGGCTGGTTAGAGGTGAGTGGACCTTTTGAATCTCTTTGGGAGGGGCCGGTGGGATGGGACCGATCACATCTTTGTTGAGCAGCCACTTATTCCCGGGACCCCCCCCCAAGAAAAAAATAACTACAAGGAACATTTATTAAGCTCTGCCCGTGTATCAGGCCCCCAGCTTTGCTATGTACAGGCACGGTTTTAAGACCTTATTTCTCCGTTTGATTAATGAGGAAGCTGAGGCTCAAAGAAGTTAAGTCGTGTGCCCAAGTGCTCACAGCTTATACTTGGTGGGATTCGAACCCAGATAGCTGAACCCATTTTAAGCAAAGCATGTTGTATGTGCCCTGGTAGCGGGGGGAGAAATGAGCCCGAAAAGCAGTTGGACTCTGGTTTTCAAACTTACCAAACCGAGCTTGAGTTTACCTACCCTCACTGTGAAAGGCCGGGTATGCAGTCGGTGCCTACTTAATAGGAGTTGTTGATAATTATTGTTATCTCTCCCCTTTTGGCCCTTCTGTCAGCTTCCTCCATGGAGCCCACCCAGCCAGCAGAGGACCTCAGTCTGACCCAACAGCTCCCCATCCCAGAATTTGGGGACCCTGAGGACCCTGGGGATGAGGCCCCTGATGGCTCAGACACTGTGGTGCTCAGTCTCTTCCCCTGCACCCTGGAGCCTGGGAATCCTGAACCGGATGCTGGTGCCTCCTCACCGCAGGGTAGGTAGGATATTTCCCCTGGACTTCATCTGCCTCTGGGATGCAAGGACAATGGAATGTCAGGCCCAAGATAGGACCTCTGTCTTTACGTTCCATTACCTAGAATGTGTTGTCCCTCTCCAACCAGTGAGGAATTGCTTTATATGTGTAGGTATGATGGCTAAATCCACATAACATAAAAGTTGCTATTTTAACCAGACCTGTATACAATTCAATGTCAGTAATGTGTTGTAACCCCACCCCCACCCCTGCTCTATTGTTCCAGAACATTTCCATCACCCCAGAAGGAAACCAGGTCCCCTTTAGTAATCATTCTCCATCCCTTCTCCCTTAGCCCCTGTCAATCACTGATCTTTCTGTCTCTGGATTTTCCTGTTCTGGATATTTCTTTTTTTTTTTAATGTTTTATTTATTTCTGAGAGAGAGAGAGAGAGAGAGAGACAGCAAGAACAGGGGAGAATCAGAGAGAGAGGGAGACACAGAATCTGAAACAGGCTCCAGGCTCTGAGCTGTCAGCACAGAGCCCGATGCAGGGCTCGAACCCACAAACTGTGAGATCATGACCTGAGCCGAAGTCGGATGCTTAACCGACTGAGCCACCCAGGCGCCCGTGGAATCCTATATGTGGCCTTTTGTGTCTGGCTTCTTTCATTCAGCATCGTGCGATTTTTTCGTTGTTTTCTTTTTTGTTTTTTTAAGTTTGATTTAGTTAAGGAATCTCTGCGCCCCATGTGGGGCTTGAACACATGACCCTGAGAACAAGAGTTGCATGCTCCTCTGACCGAGCCATCCAGGCACCCCTCAGCATGATGGTTTGAAGGCTCATCAGCATTTGTGTCAGTGCTTCGTTCCTTTTTATGACCCGATAATATTTCATTCCAGACCACATTTTTTTTTCAATCCATTCATCCATTGAGGGACCCTTGGGTTCTTCCTCTTTTGGTGATTGTGAGTAGTGTTGCTGTACACATTTGTGTACCAGTTTTTGTCTGAACAGTTGATTTCAACTCTTTGGGGTAGATATCTAGGAGTGGAATGCTGGGTCAGATGGTGATTCGGTAACCCTATTAAGGACCCAAGGATTTCTTCTTTTTTGTTTTTTAATTTATTTTTTTAATCTTTTTTTTATTTTTTGAGAGAGAAAGCATGAGAAGGGGAGGGGCAGAGAGAGGGAGAGAGAGAACCCCACGCAGATCCTGCACTGTCAGCACAGAGCCTGTTGCGGGGCTCAAACTCACAACCTATGAGATCATGACCTGACCCAAAATAGACCACCCTCAAGGTGCCCCTCAAGGATTTCTTTTGAACACGTCTAATTCAGTCCCTCCTGGGGCCTTGGTCCCTGCCGTTCCCTCCGGTGGAACGCTCTATCTCTTCCCAGGGCTGTTGTTTCAACTGGCCAAGCTCTCAGTTGGTGTCACCTCCTCAGAGTGGCCCTCCCTGACCATCGTGTCCTAAATGGACTCACCCCTTGCCCTCCCCTCTTTCCACCCTCTTCTACCTCCTTATTTCTCCTGAACACTTATTTCTCTCTTTCTGTCTGACTCCCCCATCTTGTCCATGGACCCTTAAGGGCAGAGACTGTGTCTCGTTTGCCCAGAACATCCCCAGGTGTAGAGGAGAAAGGTGCACCTGGGTATCCAGGAGAGCAGAGTGAGTGAGTGGGGGAGGGAGGCACTGTCTTTGGTAGCTCCAAACCCCGAGGGTCTGATCTGAAGCCGCAGAGACATACTAGGGGCAAGCTGAGGCCCTTCCTCTCTCTTCCAGGAGGCAGCTCCCTGAAGCACTCCACGACCCTCACCAACCGGCAGCGGGGGAACGAGGTTTCGGCCCTGCCGGCCACCCTGGACTGTAAGTGGGCCTCCAGTCCCTAAGGCGGGTCGGGGTGGTAGGGGCTGGTAGGTAGCAGGGGCTGAGAGGAGCAACTTTGGATGGGGTAAACTGAGGCACGAGCAGGGATGGGACAGGTGAGGACTCTGCCTCTCTCTGGCCCCTAGCCCTGTCCATCCACCAGCTCGCAGCCCAGGGGGAGCTGAGCCAGCTGAAGGAACATCTGAGGAAAGGTGTGTGTCCACACGAGTACCCTGGTGTGTCGTATGTGTCTGACCACACGTGCTGGTGTGTGCATGTGGGTACTGAAATGACCTGTGTCCACCCGTGTGCTCCCCTTCATGTCTGACCCCGGCCGGCCGCCCTGTCCCTGCTCCCACAGCACTGGGGAGAGTGGGCAGGGGTGCATCCCAGTGGTACCACCCCCCTCCTGCCAGGCGACAACCTCATCAACAAGCCGGACGAGCATGGCTTCACCCCCCTCATCTGGGCCTCCGCCTTCGGAGAAATCGAGACTGTCCGCTTCTTGCTCGAGTGGGTGCGTCCCAGCCCAGCTCAGGGCTTCCCAGGAACTTAAGGGCGGGCTAGGGTCTCGTCTGTGTCTGCTGGTGCCATGTCTATAAGAAGGGCTGCCACGGGTACCCTAGGATTCTAGGGGATGCCCCCACCCATCCCATCACCACTCTCTATTCCCCCTGCCACAGGGTGCCGACCCCCACATCCTGGCCAAGGAGCGGGAAAGCGCCCTGTCACTGGCCAGCATGGGTGGCTACACAGATATTGTAGGGCTGCTGCTCGAGCGTGACGTGGACATCAACATCTATGACTGGGTGAGGCACCACCCACTGGCCCTCGGCACCCTGCAGGGTACCAGGCCTGCTGTGGGTGCTGAGAACACAAGACAGGGCCATCCCAGAGCCTTACAGAGCTCCTAGTTTGTGGGGAGGGAAGCCAACACGTAAACAGTCAGCTGAAAATGTAGTGAATAACACTGTAATAGACATACAGGCAGCTGCGAGAGCCCAGAAGTGGCCCACATAGTCCAGGGAAGTCAAGGAGGGTTTCCTGGAAGAGGAGGTATCTAAGCTAAGACCCAAAGGGAGAACTAGACCAGGTGTTGAGCAGGAGGAAAAACCACATTTAACTGGAGGGTTGGGGTGTCGTGAGAGTTTGGAACACCAGACAGAATGTTGGTCGCCCTTGCCCCTGCCTTTGACAGAATGGAGGGACACCACTGCTGTATGCCGTGCGTGGGAACCACGTGAAATGCGTAGAAGCCTTGTTGGGTAAGTGGGAGAAGGAGCTGGCCCTGGGGGCCTCAGAGCCCCCAGAGCTCTCAGAGAGGGGTCCACACTGCTTGAACAGCTCTTGGGATGAACGGGTCCCTGCCTGCTTTTCCCAGAGCATTGATCTGGGGACAGGAGATGGTAGGATAGTACAGAGGTCTGGCTCACCGGATTGAACACCCATACTGTGAGGGATCACTGGATCTCCCAAGTCTCCAAGCCCCATTCTGGGCTCCCAGCACCCCTGCCTCTCCAGCAGCACCTGCTTTGCTTTGCAGCCCGAGGAGCTGATCTCACCACTGAGGCTGACTCCGGCTACACCCCAATGGACCTTGCTGTGGCCCTGGGATATCGGAAAGGTCAGCCTGAGACACATAGGGCAGTGACAGTGTGCTGTAGGCAGGTGACCACAGAGGGGTACACAGGACATGCCCTCTCGGATGTCAGATGCTAGCGGTGAGCACACGTGTTCACGTTAGCAAATATCTGGTGCCACTGTGTACCTGGCCTAGGCATGTGCAGGAGGCTGACATGTCAGTGACTGGGTCCATGATGGGATACACACAGGCACTGAGAGGCCCAAAGAGAGGGAGGATGGGACCCAGGCTGGAGGATGGGATCCTCGCAGAGGCCTTGCGGGATGAGGATGCCGAGGAAGGGCCGGGCCACAGTGTGCAGTGGTCTTTGAAGCCAGCCCTCTCCGTGGCAGGAGGTGGGTGTGAGTAGGGACCATAGGCTGACCCCAGTTTGCTCCCCACTTCCCCTTTCAGCTTCCCCATCGACAAAATGGGGAGATCCTAATAGAAATGACCCCTTGGGGTCATGGGGGATTGAGGACCTGGGAGATTTCTCCTCCTGCCTTCAAGTTTTATTCCACTTGGGACAGAAGTCATGCCTCACAGCCCCTCTTATCCTTTCTTAAGTCGCCAGTCAGCAATTTTGTTTGGTAAAGATTTTTTTTTTACTTTAAAAATCCTCCAAAAATGCATTTTTATAAACTTAGGGGAAGTTGAGTTTCCTGGCTTGGGGGACCTCAGTCTTCCCAGCTGTACTCTGGGACATGTGTGGATGTGCCCGCATATGAAGTAGGTCCTCCATCCGTGTCCCAGGGCTTGGAGATCCCCGTTCATCCCCCGAGAAGCGGGTACAGCTATGCTGGGACACCCCAGCTCATCCCCACGGGCAATGTATAATTTGGCTGTGCCTCTGCAGCCTGCATTCAGTTCACGGCCCACCTCTTCCCTTTCCTGTTTCCAGTGCAACAGGTGATCGAGAACCACATCCTCAAACTCTTCCAGAGCAACCTGGTGCCCGCAGATCCTGAGTGAAGCCTGCCTGCTGGGGACTCAGATACTCAGGGAACAAAACAGTTGACGCAGAGCTGGGGGAACCCAGAACTGGCTTCAAAGGCAGCTCCTGGACAGACAGTGGGAGGGGATCCTTCCCAAGAGGAACCAATAAACCTTCTGTGCATAACTTGAAGGATTTCACTGTGCTCCCCCAAGGGCTTCCTGGAGGTGTCAGCTACCCAGTGGCCTCACGCCCTCTCCCCCAGCACACGCAGGTGGTAGATGACAACTCGGCCAAAAAAGTCAGTGGCGTCCTCAAATGTCACCTTCAGCCGGTCCACCTCAGCAACTGGCACAGGGAAGGTGTGAGCATAGGCAGTCAAGGGAAATAGGTAGTTTATCATTTCCCATCTGCCAGGCCCCAGCACAGACACCACCAATGTCCTGGGTGACCCCGCACATCGTGAGCCCTTCTGAAGCTCTCACACAGGACAGCTCATTTTACAGATGAAGCAATGGAGGTCTAGAGCTCACTTGCTCAAGATCACACACCAGGGCCCACGGTTTTCAGAGGCACAAACCACCACCCCCACCCCACCCCAGAGACCCAGGAAGGATATCTGAAGTGAGTTGCTGTCCTCAGGGTAGAAGTCCACAATCTTGCTAAGAGCCTCACTCCCCTGGGAACCTACAACAGAGAACGGGGCAGGTTGTGAGGCTGCGGTGCCCTCTCCAAACCCCCACCTTCCAGAGCCCTCTAGTACCTTCCAGGTGGCCCCGGCGACTGGAGAAACCCCCCTGGAACTGGATCTGCAGCTGGGAGGCACGGATGCGCTGGGGAAACTCTAGTATCACCCACTGAGAGGGGCCCTGGAAACAGACAGGGAAACTGAGGCTCACAATCTGTCCAGGCTCAGAGCCCTACTATGCCTTATTCCCACAGTCCATGGGGGAGGGGTGGTGCGAGGCGCAGTTGGCACACGTTCCCTCCGTGGCCAACTCCACTGTGCCCAGCTGGAGTGCTCCTTAGTTCTCAAGGCAGCCCGGACTCCTGAATCTGATTCACAAGACGGATGGACGGTCCAGGGAGAAGTGACTCACCTGGTCCGAGTTCCAGCACGTTTCCTCATCCTGGTCGAACAAATGCTTCTTTCCAAACTGCCGAGTGTTGCGATTCAGCACTGAACTCACCCTGGAGGCACCAGAGTAAGGGCGAAAAGACGGGCTAAGCCCAGCGCCGAAGTCCCGCCCCTCCTCACCTCCAGCTTCCCCGGGCACCCCCAACCCTGTCAACCCCGGGCTCGAGGGCCACGCCCGCCACTGCTCGTCCCCCAGGTTCTCACCTGCTCACTGTCTCTGGACAAACCAAAGAGTGGGTCATCTCGGCTCCGCAAAGCCTCGCAGGGCTCAGCTGGTGTAGCCGGTGTGCGTATTCCGGAGCCAACGCAGCCACAGACGCGCGACCTTGACCACGCCTCAGAGTCTCCAAGAGCTTCAAAGAAACTGCCGCGGCTAAACTCTCACAGCGAGTTCAAGGAAGGGAAACAGGTTTCCTGTGGGTTCCCGGCGGTCGCTCGGACTTCCGAGCTTCTGTCTCTCGGCGAACAGCTTGGAGAACCAGAACAGGACCCGGAACCACGAGAACACCGCGCAAGCGCACTGTGACTCAGACCTGCTCCGCCCACGTTCTCGGGGCAGGATGTAATTTGAGCCCCGCCTCTCCGAGCCCGCCTCTTAAAGGGCCTTCACCCAGTACTGAGTTTCTCTTGGAGCTGGAGGAAGAAGGCAGGCGCTTAAAAGAATTGTGTGCCAAGTTGTGTGCGGGGCGCCGTCTTCTGGTGCCTGCGGGTATAGAGCAGGGTATAAGGTATAGCAAGTCTGAGAGACTTCCTATAATGATGTCTCCCTACCTGGGGAAGTCAGTCAAAACCATTCCGTAACTGCTAAAGCTGCCGAGCGCCTCAGTGCCCCCTAGGGACCAAGGAGGAGTTGAGAAAGAGGCCACAATGTTGCTAGTACAGCTAGACTTCGTCAGCCTGGTGTATCCCAGCTGGAACGCAAGAGGCTTAGCCCCCAAATCTTTCTTCCTGGGACAGGCTTCATGGAGGAGGAGGCATGTGAAGTGGGTTTTGAAGGATGAACGGAGGTTTGCCAAACCAGATTGCACAAAGGCTAAAGATTTGGTTCACTGATTCACTAGACCACAACTATCACTCCCGCCTGGCTAGCCCTGTGCTGGATGGTGCTGGGGACTGTGAGAAGCCTCCTCCATACCTGAGGAGCTCCCAACTTTTGGTAAGACAGAGCTAGACACACACACACACACACACACACACACACACACACACACACACACATGCAGTCACGGTTGAGCCAGAGGGAGACCTAGGGCTGGGAGACCAGAGGCTCTACCAGGAGGAAGGGCTTCCTGGGAGGGGGATCTTGTGTCTGTACCTTAATGGGTGGGCAGGAATTTATCAGGGTAAGAAAAATGGGGGGAGATTTGTCCAGGCAAGGAAAACAGCATAAGTAAAAGACTGGTTGGGTGGAAAATGATGAATTTGAATAAAATATGTGGAGCAAGATCCTGCTGAACCTGAAGGTGTTTGAGAAAGGGCAAGACACCATCCTATCTGCATGAATGGAGGGTTCTGAGACAAATCAGCTATTGGCAGAAGGCTGCAGGTCCTGGCTTTAACTGAATGGTGTAGAATCCAGCCCCTTTCTTCAAGGGCTAGGGGAATGGTTCTCCTGGCATCCTACTAGGATCTTCCCAAGCCCACTCTGATGGGGAGGGGGGACTGGCTGGGAAACTGGGACACCAGCGGAAGGGCTGCCCCACCAGCCTCTGCCCACCAGGACTTCCTGCATTCAGTCATGGCCTGATGCCATCTAGGCCTGGCGCTGCTGGTCTCAGTGCTGGGGCCAGGACTGAGGATGGCAGAAAAGACCTCTTTACCCCAAGAGGAAGGTGGGAAGAGCATGGACCCTGGAGGGTCCAGATCCAGTTCAAATCCTGGCTAGGTCACTCACTCACTGGCCATGTGATCTTGCACAAGCATGTTGACCTCTCTGGGCCTCAATTTCCTCATCTGTGAAATGGAGACAATTTTGTTTATAGGATTGCTGGAGAATGCAGTGGTCTCTTTAGGCCGACAAACAACAGTAGTTGACCTTTGTTGAGAGCCCATCTTGTGTTTGACTCAAAACCACATTTTGCTCCATCCACTGGTTCATTAAACGGGCTGTGCTGGTCCATGTTGCCTCCATTTTACAGCTGAGGATATACCTAATGTCCCCCAGGGAGGATACGCATGGCCCTAGCCACCCCCAACCCCCCATCCTGCCAGCGCCACTCCTGGTCTTGGCATGGAGCCGCCTTGCCCACTGGTATGAGGCCAGCTCAATACCCCCTTCCCGCCTCCTCACCCCACTGGCGCCTGGGCATGAAAGAGCCTCCTGTTTCTCCAGGGAATTAGCAGCTCTAAGCTCCCAGCAGGGCAGCCAAAAGTGGTCCATTCATTTGCCTGAGTGAGGAGAGACCAGGCACTCCCCCCCCCCCCTCCCGCAGGAGATGGAGCAGAGGAGGCTCTGGAAGAGCCAGGAGCTGCAACTCTGGTTCACTGAGAGAAACTGAGGCACAGAAAAACAAAGTCATTTGGTTAAGGTCATCCAGGGGGAGAAGAATTCAAACCCCAATCTGACTCTGGTGTTCTCTCCATGGGCGGAGTTTTGCATTTGTCAAAAGAGGAAATAGAGGCTCAGAGAGAGTCAGGTATTTACTGAAGTCACACAGCAAGTATGGGTCAGCAGGGACTCTCTCTGGGGATGCAGCCCCACCCATGACAAAAAACAGGTCCCACTTCTCATGGGCTTGTTATGCTGGAGCAGGGCAAGGAAAGGCCTTCAGATAGCTTCAAGCCTTGGTTCCCACCTCCCCCCTGGAGGATCAGTGTAATGATTGCCTCAAGGCTCCACCCTGAAGAGTATGTGGGGATGGATGTGACAGTTCCATGACCCACAGTCCCCACTGGGGCAGGTCCAGGTCTGGTTTATCTGCCAGGGTCTGCCTAGGTTCAACAGGGCCCACCTCAGAGTAGATGGATGCCAGCTGGACTTGTCAGTCCTGGGAGGGTGCAAGCCTGGGAGGCTGAGAGCCTGGGTAAGTGGAGGTGACAGCAGAAGTGGGGGTGGGGTGGTGGCCAGGCATCCTGGTCGTGGGCTCCCCAGGGGACCCCCGGGGCCACAACAGGGGGAATGATGAATGGTGAGCATGAGTGGCTGTGTTGTGAGGTTGGTCCCGGGAGGACTATGTCTCCGTGTCGGTGCCCGTGTGCCTAGCAATCGTAGTTGGGTGCTGGCTGGCTGTAGGTGTGCCCACGGCTGTAAACATGGTTGAGTGTGAACAATGTGGGGCAAATGTGGGCTTGTTTGTGGCTGCCAGGAAGGCTAAGGTACTGCAGTGCGTGTATTTGACCATAAAAGGACCATAGGTGTGGCTGGGATCACAGCTGTGAGTTTGGTTTAGCAGCACGCATGACTTGTGCGCAGCCAAATGAGGTTGTATGTGGTCTGTGTGGCGTATATGTGGCCTTGTCTCATGTGATTGTATATAAGCCACCTGTGCTGTCACTGTGTGTGTGGGATGTGACTGTGGGTTAGTGGTTTGTTGGTGTCATTGTGTGACACATGTGAATGCAGTTGCATGTGTCATACCTGTGTGTCACTTTGGGTATGTTAAGAGACGTTCTGGAGGGACACCGTCCACCCTTGAGATCCAGCTCCCCCAGTAGGTCCAGCCTCCATGCTCCTGCTCTGGCCCACTAGCCCCCTCCCCTGCCCCCTCCCCCAACTTGCTTCTCAGCCCCTGGCCTGCGCCCCAGTGTGGGGGGCACAGAGAAGGCACTCAGGGCTGGTGGGGGGGGGGGGGCGGGTGGCTCACCCAATCCCAGTGCAGGCCTATAAATAGCTCTTTGAGCCCAGCAGATTCCCAGGCAAGGTTGCCTCATTCAAGCCCCCAGCAACAGCCTGCCCCCCCACCACCCTGGGCCCCAGGCCAGCCCCTCTAAGCTCAGCCCTGGCACTGGCCAGGGGGACATAGGGGTGGAGAGAAGGGGGTGTAAAGAGGTGGGGGTGGGGGTCAGCTTGGCTCTGAGGCCATGAACTTAGACTCCCACTTGGCCATTACCCATACCGTACAACCTCAGGCAGGTGGTCCTGTGCCTCTGAGCCTCAGTTTCTCCAGCTGGAAAATGGGCAGCAGCATGATAGCAGCCCCCATCTTATGTGTTTACTTCCCATTTCATTTTCCCAGCAACCCTGTAAGATGGGGAGTCTTAATTACCCTCCTTTTTTAGACAGGAAAACTGAGGCACAGAAAGACAAAATGGCTGGCCCAGAGCCACTCTATTAGGAGTGGAAGGTTTGAACCCTGAACTTGTGGAAACAAAGCTGCTTGGATCCCTTACACATCACACAATGTGACCCTGGACCCTGGACTCCCCCACCCCAACCAACGCTGCCACAATCACCTCGTCACCAGTCTGTCAACTGAGGACACTCATATCAGTGTAACCCCTGACCTCTGTCTCTCCTCTAAACCATAGCTCTCCAGTGTGTCGCTTGTTCTTTTTTCAAGTTTATTTATTTATTTGGGGGGAGGGGGGCATGTGCTCCTGTATGAATAGGGGAGGGGCAGACAGAGAACAGAGAGAATCCCAAGCAGGTTTCCAGCTGTCAGTGCAGAGCCCAATGCGGGGCTGGATCCCACAAACCATGAGAAGATGACCTGAGCCAAAATCAAGAGTCAGACGCTTAACTGACTGAGCCACCCAGGTGCCCCCTGAGTGTGTCACTTTGGCCCCTAGAGCCATCACTGCCCACTCCTGGACCAGTAAACTGGGTCCACATGCATGAGACACTGACCCATACAGATGACCTGGGGCAACGTTGCTGCCCTGGGGTCTTTCCTCAACATTTACTCATTTCCACCCCTTCTTTGGTTAATCTTGCCGAAACCAAATTGTCCCATTTGTCTGTCCCCTGTCAGACTGACACACACACACACACACACACACACACACACTCACATGTGCAGGACATGGTGTGAGTGTGTGGACTCTGCCCAGTGCAGTCCATCCTAAGCTGAGAAACAATGACCATGGGAAGGAAGGTGGGGGAAGGGCTAATCTCTTTAAGCTTTTGTCCCCACTCATTTCCATTATTTCCATTTTTCATTGTGGTAAAGTACACCGAACACAAAATTTAACATTTTAAAGTGTACAATTCTGGGGCATTGATCTTATTAACATCATTGTGCAACCCTCACCACTATCTAGTTCTAGAACATTTTCATCATCCCAAAAGGCAATGCGGTACCCACTTGCAGTCACTCTCTATTCCCCTTCTTCCAGTCCCTGGTAACCACTCATCTATTTTCTGCCTCTGGATTTGTCTATTCGAAACATGCTGCATAAACTGAACCATACTGTGGCCTTTTGTGTCTGGCTTCTTTCACTCAGCATGATGTTTTTGAGGTTCATCCATGTTGTAGGATGTGTTAGTACTTCATTCCTTTTAATGGCTGAATAATATTCCATTGCGTGGATCTAGACTTTTTAAGGTTGTGGTCTCCCTGAGAAGACACACACATGC